GATGATGATGCTGATGATGATGATGATGTTGACGACGACGATGATGATGATGATGATGATGATGATGATGGTGATGATGATGATGATGGTATAAGGGTGATTATGTTCATGTCGATGCTGCTGCTGCTGATGATGGTGATGCTGATGAAGGTGATGATTATGAGGATGAGGGGAAGGCGGAGGCGGAGGAGGAGGATGAGGAGGGTGGTGGTGGTGGTGGTGGTGGTGGCGGCGATGGCAACGATGAGGATGGCCACGGATGAGGATGATATGGAGGATAATGCTGACAATGCTGAAGATGATGCTGAAACTGATGATAATTCTGCTGCTGCTGATGATGATGACGCTGCTGCTGCTGATGATGATGATGATGATGATGCTGATGATTAGGGTTAAGCTGATGGGGAAGAGGATGATGAGGAGGAGGCTAATGAGGATGAGGATGAGGATGACGACAATGAGGAGGATGCGTATGAGGAGCAGGAGGTTTGCGGTGGTGGTGGTTTTGATGGCAATGATGATGGCTCAGGATGGGGATGGGCACGGGGGCGATGATGACGACGATGATGATCACGATGCTGATCACGGTGATGATGACGATGATGCTGATGATGCCGATGATGATGGAGCTGAGGAGGAGGAGGATGCGACGGAGGGTGGTGGTGATGGTGGTTGTTGTGATGCCATTGGTGACGGTGGGTGAGAGTGAGAATATGGTTTGGGCTGGTGATGAGGATACTGATGATCATGATGATGCTGCTAATGACGATGCTGAATCTGATGATTTGGATGATTATGGTGATGTGATGCTGATGCTGATGCTGATGAGGATGTTGTTGTTGATGATGATGCGGCTGCTGCTGCTGCTGCTGCTGATGATGATGATGATGATGATCATGATGATGTTTATGATGCTGGTGATGCTGATGGTGCTGATGATGATGCTGACGATGAAGATGACGATGCTGCTGCTGATGATGTTGATGATGATGATGATGATGATGATGATGATGATAATGATGATGATGATGATGAGGATGCGGAGATGACGAGGTGGAGGAGTGGTGGTGATTGCGATGCCACTGGTGATTTATCTGGCAGAGGGGGGGGAGGGGCTTGCGAATGAAGATGAGGACGCTGATGACGATCATGATGATGATGATGTCGGACGGAGGAGGCGGAGGAGGAGACGGAGGAGGAGGAGGAGGAGTGGGAGGTTGAGGAGGATGATGAGGGTGGTGGTGGTGGTGTTGATTAACGGGGATGAGGATGACGACGTTGATGATGATGGAGATGATGATGCTGCTGATGATGATGATGATGATGCTGATGCTGATGATGCTGAGGATGCTGCTGCTGCTGATGATGATGATGATGCTGATGATGATGATGATGATGCGGATGACGATGGCGAAGGTGATGACCATACCATGATTATGATATAATGTTGTGGATGATGACGTCGATTATGATGATGCTGATGATGCTGATCATGCTGATGGTGGTGGTGGTGGTGTTGGTGGTGGTGGTGGTGGTGGTGTTGGTGGTGGTGTGATGGTGGTGATGGTGCTGGATGATGCGGGTGGTGAAGGTGGTGGTGGTGGTGGTGGTGTTGATTAACGAGGATGAGGATGACGACGTTGATGATGATGGTGATGATGATGCTGCTGATGATGATGATGATGATGATGATGATGATGATGATGATGATGATGATGATGATAATGATGATGATGATGATGATGATGATGATGATGACGACGACGATGCTGATGTTGATGATGATGAAGATGATGATGATGATGATGATGATGATGATGATGATGCTGATGATGATGATGATGCTGATGACGATGATGATGATGATGATGATGATGATGATGATGATGACGATGACGATGCTGATGACGGCGATGCTGATGATATTAATGCTGATGTTTCTGATGCTGATGCTGATGCTGATGCTGCTGATGATGCTGATGACGACAGCGACGACGACGGCGATGGCGATGACGGTGATGCTGGTGTTGACGCTGATGATGATGAGGATGATGATGATGATGATGATGATGATGATGCGGATGATGATGATGATGATGATGATGATGATGATGATGATGATGATGATGATGATGATGATGATGATGCTGATGCTGATGCTGATGCTGCTGATGCTGATCATGCTGCTGATGCTGATGCTGATGCTGATGACGAT